ATGCTCTACTTTACGTGAGTTTTACTGCTTATAAAATTACCATCTCATATGACACATGGGCGAAACCATGAAAACACAAGCCTCAGTGGTAACTCTGAAGGCCTATAACGCTAAACACCGGGTTTCAATACCCATAGTGGGCACGGCGCAGATAGTCCATTATGTAGCTTTGCGTTTAAAAACAAACAAAACTTATAAATATTCAATAATATTTCAGATTAAACGGGATATATTTCAGGTGAACCAAAAGATACGCGCCCTGGTGTTAACATTTTAGAACAAAATATAAATCTTAGATGTGGAAATATATATATACAGGGTGTCCGGAAATTACGTTTGTTTTTGTTGACGTCACTTCCGGATGCCTTGAATTAATTACACTAAAATTAGTAAAGTGGTTGTCACGATAAACTCAACGTATGTAAATATTTCAACGATTGAAATATTGTTTCAAACGCCATATATTGTAACAGTAATACAGCATTGTTGTGATGAAAATTGTTACAAAGAGCCATGCCAATGCTGAACCTATAATGCGTTGGAAAGTCCGTTAGCTTTTATTTTTATTTTGAAAATAAGGTCGCTTAGTTTCTTAAAACATGATATTAACATAGTATTGCCGGGAACGTTCACGTGCTTTGTCCAGGCTAATAAAGCGTGGCACCAAACATTACTATCACAAAGTAAACAGGACGAGAGAGCTTGAAGTTACTTCAGATAAAAACAAAATATACTTAATAAACACAGGCACCCATCGCTTTATTATGGTTTTACTAGTTAGACTTTCGATTCACGTAACTTGAAAGTTGATAAGTTTTTAAAGTATCCTGTTATTTGATTAAAAAGTAATAACTCTTAAACTACCCAAACGTTTTATCACAATTGTAATTTTAGTATTTGTTGATTTTTAGTTTTAGTTAATTTGATAAGTTCCTCCAACTACAAAGTGTTTGACGAAAAGTCACCATTGTTAGCAATATCCAGTATTGGAAAATACTATAAGCGATCCCCCCGTGGGTCGGGAGTACGTTTACGCTAAAATCCGGGGTTCGATCTTTAGTGGTGGAGGCAGCCTATTGTCTAGGTTTTGGCTAAAACAAAGAGAATAGAATAGGTAAGACTGCGAATATAAGAGCGCCACCTAATGGCGTAAGCTTCACCCGTTTTTGTTTAAATGCTGTTGACTGCGTCAACAACTAAGTAATGTTCACATTCTGAAACGAAACCTAGCCATTTTATGTCTGTTTTTTGGACAATTACGTCATTTGACAGTTTCTCTACGTTAATCAAATATTTTACTTTGGTCAGCTAACCTATACATTTGAACATTTTTCTAAAGGTTAATGACTCATCTTCTGTAAGTTGACCAACTTATATACTTATCTTTTCCTATAGGTAAATCAATCGTTTTTCTCGGGACAGCTAAACTCTCGACGAGATACCTTTTATATGTCCTTTTTGGACCAGTCAAACAAACCACGTGACCATTTCCTAAATAAGTTAATATTTTTTAATCTAGGTTAGTCAAACAATCCATGGTTTAAATGTTTAGGTCAGTAATAATCTCTTAGTTGGTCAGTCAATCAATCTGTTCTTAGTTCACCCAATACAATACTAAGTAAATCAACATAAGTCAACAGACCCATATAATACTATTATTGTGTCGTTAACCCTCTTTCGTATCAGTCAATAGACCCATATAATACTATTATTGTGTCGTTTAACACTCTTTTGTATCAATCAATAGACCCATATAATACTCTTATTGTGTCGTTTAACCCTATTTCGTATCAGTCAATAGACCCATATAATAGTTCTTATTGTGTCGTTTAACCCTCTTTCGTATCAGTCAACAGACCCATATAATAGTTCTTATTGTGTCGTTTAACCTTCTTTCGTATCAACCAATGCACTTAAGCGACATTCGTATTGTAATAATTAACACTCCTGTCAGTCAGTGCACCCATGTGGCACTTGTATTGTGTGATTTAACATTTTGTTTCTGTCAATGAACGAATTTGTAATATTATTTCTCATCCCGTAAGTTAATACCAGCTTCTATGGTACAGAAAATGTGTCATGTTGAAGTTTCTTCTTGGTGATAGTTTTACTTTAAAAATTCATGTTTTTTTTCTCTTTTTTATCACTGCATTTTTCCTGCTGTAACTTAGGTAATGTGTAGTTTATCAATACCTCCGAGTCGTCTACCTGTTGATAGTGTGGTGGAAAATGTCTCGGTGGCCATCTGTTTGGAGTCGTTTTTCTAATTCCAGGTTAGTGCTCTGGGTATTTAATGTGATAAACACATCCTAGTGTTTGTTATCCGTGAAATATATATTAATAGACTTATTCATACTCTTACAGAGAGTCGCAAAGCTTACCAGGGCCAAACTTTAACACAATCAGATTTTTGTCTTCGCTAGTAACAAGGACAAACTCCAATATAATCAAATGTTTATTTTCGCTAGAACCAGGGACAAACTCTAACAAAATCAGATTTTTACCCTGTACTAGCGAAACAAACTCTAACAAAATCAGATTTTTATTTTCGCTAGTACCAGGGACAAACTCTAATATAATCAAATGTTTATTTTCGCTACTACTAGGGGCAAACTCTAACAAAATCAAATTTTTATTTTCGCTAGTACCAGGGACAAACTCTACCACAATCAGCTTTTTATCTTCGCTAGTACCAGGGACAAACTCTAATATAATCAAATATTTATCTTCGCTAGTACCAGGGACAAACTCTAATATAATCAAATATTTATCTTCGCTAGTACCAGGGACAAACTATAATATAATCAAATATTTATCTTCGCTAGTACCAGAGACAAACTCTACCACAATCAGCTTTTTATCTTCGCTAGTACCAGGGACAAACTCTAATATAATCAAATATTTATCTTCGCTAGTACCAGGGACAAACTCTAACAAAATCAGCTTTTTGTCTTCGCTAGTACCAGGGACAAACTCTAACACAATCAGACTTTTATCTTCGCTAGTACCAGGGACAAACTCTAACACAGTCAACTGGTAATATTTTTCTGTGGCATATTCTGATACATCCACTCAGTATTTATGTATGAAGCATGAATTAATTTCTCTTTCCATCGCATCCTTTAAAAGATTAGCCATCTGCGACCATTGTTTTTACACCTTCTGTACTTTCTTCTGCCCCCTAGCGGCTGAGTAGTAAGTCTAAAGTCCTATACTATTAGCTGTCTACGTTTGATTTAACGTTTTCAAATCTCTTCTAGTTTACTATCAACCTTTATATTATTTTGTATATTTTCAGAGCAGAAAAAAAATATTCGAACGGGGTTTATGTTCTTGTTTAAGAACTAAGTAAGAACCACCAAATTTAGTATAGGTGTCGTCATTAAAAATTTTCATTTCATTTGTATTAATAACATTTTTATCTCTGTATTAACCGAACTACTCCAGAATTATATATTCAACACACCTTTCTCTCTCTCTGACACAAAATGGTTAACATTTGATACGAATTACAATGTGCAAGCTTGTAATTTGAACTATAGATGTCAGAGTTTATTGTTCTCAGAAATGCCATGGACTATAGATCTTTGAAATAATTCTAATTTGAAAGCAGGCAAATAAAGTATAATGCCAAAAACAAACAAAATCTTAGTACTGCTCCCCAGTGGCACAGCGGTATGTCTGCGGAGTTACAACGATAGAAACCGGGTTTCGATACCCGTGGTGGGCAGAGCACAGATAACCCTTGTGTAGCTTTGTGCTTAACTACAAACAAACAAAATCTTAGTAATGATGCAGGTAAATCACAAATATAGTTTTTAGTTGAGTATACCTCGAGTCTTTCTTTTCCTGAGGATATAAATTGTGGATCGGTTTTTAATAAAACTACACATTAGAAACAAAAGGTACTACTTCATGAGAAGAAAACAACAACAAATTTTGACAAAAATGAAAAAAAAATTTAGTTGTATTCTAAAGACTGTTGACTGTTTCTGGCTAAGATGGCATATAAAATATATTCCAAAGAATGTTAACTGTTGCTAGTTAAGATGACATATTAACCGTATTCCAGAGAATGTTAACTGTTGCTAGTTAAGATGACATATTAACCGTATTCCAGAGAATGTTCACTGTTACTGGTTAAGATGGCATATTAACCGTATACCAGAAAATGTTCACTGTTACTGGTTAAGATGGTACATTAACTGTGTTCTGAAGAATGTTGACTGTTGCTAGTTAAGATGGCATATTAACCGTATTCCAGAGAATGTTCACTGTTACTGGTTAAGATGTCGTGTTAACCGTTTTAAAGAATGTTGACTCTTGCTGGCTAAGATGACGTTTCTATTGTAGCTATATTATTATAGAATAACTAGCTAGATATAGATGTGTGCGATTAAATACTGACAAAAGAAAAGTTAGAACATCTGTATATACATTGCCTTTTTTGTTTTTTGCCTAACATTAGTTAAAAAAAAGGGTTATATATGATCGCAGCTCTCTGCTTTAATGAATATACATACTCTAAGATCAGACAAAATAAATCGCCAAGTGACATTGTCAAAAACAGAAGCGATGTTAGTTCAACTTCCTGCAAATATGTTTTAGGGTTAGTAAAACCTAAATTATTTTACAAAACTCTTCGTCTTCGAAAAAATACATCTTATATATTAAGACGGAAAGCTTTTTTTTTGTTCGACTTTAAGATTTTATTTCATTGTAGCTATACCATCCGATGGTGTTCCTTACATAGGCTACGCTGTAATTATGTTATCAGAGTCTGTTCCTTACACAGGATACACTATATTTATGTTTTGAGAATACGCTCCTTACACAGGATACACTGTACATATGTTATGATAATATGTTCCTTGTAACGTTGTTTTTTAATTGAATATTTCAGTCTTGAAAAAAATACGCTAACACAATTAGATTCCACGCCTTTAATCAAATAAACCAAAAAGTATTACCCTAGTTCATTTTAAAACACAATGCCAGTTGGGCATCCTTTGGTACGTAAGTTGGATGTATTGTTAGTTGGATGCACTAGCTCCGCACACTTAGAGAATCCAAATTATTATCCGGTGAAGCTTGTTATTCAACAATTTCCGACTGCGTATGATGGGACGTGAAAGGGGGTGGGACAGCAGGTAGATTGTTATGATAGCGGAGTTCTGTACCTGTCGAGCTCTGGCTGTTTCAGACACCTGCCTACGGTGGCGTGCGCACGCATTCTGTGCCACGTTTTCAGGTACGCAGACCAATGAGAGAGCAAGACAAATAGCTGTTAGGATATGGAAGCCACAACTACGGAATACAGAGAACAGAACGGTGGTTCGGGTGTTAGTGGTGGGTTTGTAGCACAGGTATAAGGGTCTTTTAATTTTTTTTTTTTTACATTGGGACAAAGGTAGTAGGAAATCTTTTCTCTTCTTGGGCGATGGCAGGGCGATATGCGGTGGTGGTGTACGTGGTGACAGCAGGGCTACATGGGGACAACCTGGGAGCTGATGAACAAGAAGTGGTCCTCTTCTCTTGGTTAGTGGTGGACGTCGCTAACACCAAGGTAAGGACAGCTTTTGTCCAACTGTAGTCTATGCTGTGTCGATATTCTGTCACATTAATTTTATTTGTGTTATTTCGTTAAGTTTTCAACGAGATAACTTTGGATTCGTTTAACAAAAAGTAAGTTTTTTTTCTGTTGATTTAATATACTTTAATGGATATTAGCTGATCACCTGGATAAGTGTATTTTTAAAGCGAAAGCAGTCTATTTTCGGTTTGCCCTCGTCACCCGCGAGGTGTCACCTCTCTCTTTCTTCTGCTATGAATAGGTAAATAAAATACGAAAACTTTCATCCAGATTTCAACGATATTCGTTACCTTTCAAGCACAGTAGGGCCACAATTGTCGAATTGTACGAGTTATATAAGGTAGTTAAACTTATATGTACTTTGAACAATTAAAAAAAAGTGCTAATTATTAACTACCATATTTACCATCAGCTATTAGGCCTAACTGATCTACTTTTCAACGGAGATGGCTATTGGTCTCATTGTCGAATGAGTGTTTTAGTAGTGTAAAGCAACTGGTAGAGCATGTTTTTCGGGCGCGGTCACGATGAGAAGCGATAGTATGTATAACTCAATTGACTTATCGTCCTAATATTTCTTTATACTTCGGTATAAACAAATACCGTTATCAGAAACAGTAGGTGTGAATAGGGACCTTTTCACACTATCAGTTTGAAATTTGAGCATGCGTAATAAGTACGATGCTTTAGGTGACCCCTAAGCTCTGAAGACTCGGTTGTTTCCGAGCTGTTATTATTTTCTTTTTGTGCTTAATTAAGCAAATAAAATAGTATAGTTTTCACGTACATGTAATATGTAAAACAAGAGAGTATGTGTCGTTAAGGCCTAGAATTGTTTCTACCGCCATGATAACAATAGCTCTACGGCATGTTACCTAGAAACGTGGAAAACAAGCGCTGGTTAGGGTTAGCGTTTATGTTAATACCAGACAGTCTAATGTTCACATAAGTTCCAAATAAATTGAGTGTAGTTTTTTGTGCAAATGCGTTTAATCTTCGTTTTGTTTGTTAATAATTCTGCAAAATGCTCAGTTACCAAGAAAAAAAAACTTTTTAAAGGTTACGTGATATCAAACAGCCAACACAGATGTAATTAGCTGTCAGTGAAGATTTGTTAGTGATACTTTTTTTTTCCACAAAATAGAAAGAAGCTTTTGTAGTACTTCCATTAGTTATAAGATCTATTACTTGTTATGATCACAGAGTTTTGCGGATTTTGTTTTCTGTCATTTAGGGAAGCTACGGTTTCTTAAAAGTGTTATTTATTGTAGTGTTTTAGAAGTTTTTTTTTTACATTTATTTGTGAGGAGCTGAAAGTAAAATGGTGACTGAACGATTAAATGGGAAAAAGAAAGGTTTATCTTATACAGTCATAAAAAAGTAACAAGGACATTTTTCTTTGATCAAGAGGTTGGTTGGTTTCTTGAAATGGCTAGAACGTTTACAGTTCTCAGTGATAACAAACAACCGGTTTTATTGTTAAGCCTGAAAGTTTACAGTTCTCAGTGATAACAAACACCTGGTTTATTGTTAAGCTTGAAAGTTTACAGTTCTCAGTGATAACAAACGTCCGGTTTTATTATTAAACCTGAAAGTTTACAGTTCTCAGTGATAACAAACGTCCGGTTTTATTGTTAAGCCTGAAAGTTTACAGTTCTCAGTGATAACAAACGTCCGGTTTTATTGTTAAACCTGAAAGTTTACAGTTCTCAGTGATAACAAACGTCCGGTTTTATTGTTACACCTGCAGATATTAGCTTCCTGTATTTCGGGAATATATATGCTTGTTCCACATTTCTAAAACGACCCCTATGTGTGTGTGTGTGTGTAGGGAGTTACTTATTTTCTAACCCTTGCTACCTCATTACTTGTAAGGTTTTATATACCCCATATGTAGGGGGTTAAGTTTCTAGTACTTTCACATCGACAGTTATAATTGGATAATTATATTGGTTTCAACATAGTTTATTAATTGACATTTGCAGTATTCCCAGTATCTCAAATGTGATAATTAATAACATTGAAATATTAACGAGAACGTTCTTAATTAGATTTATTTATTATTTGTGGTATATTTAGTCAAAGAACAAAAAAGAATTTTGAGGTTACACCATCTTCAGTTAGGTTTGCCCTTTACAATACCCCCTCTACGATGGACACATTCAAAAAATTTGTCTTTTGTGTAACCATTATTATTATTTTTTTTTAGATTTGTCTAGGATTTCGCCTGTGTTCAGGCATGGGTATGACGACCCTCCCCCCTTTTTATACATTACTACGGCATTTTACATTCGAGTTTGACTCATACCAAGAAAGATCCCCTTCCAAAGGCCTCCCAATGGCACGGTGGTATGTCTGCGGACTTACAACACTAGAAACCGGGCTTCGATACCCGTGGTGGGCAGAGCACAGATAGCCCATTGTGAAGCTTTGCGGTAAACTTCAAACAAACAAACCCTTTCCCGAGAAATTTGGCGTTGTATATCTATAGATGCGTTTTCTCAATTTTTAAATCGGTGCTGCTCGTAAATCAATGTACTTAATTTGTGCTATAAGTTATAATTTAGAATGTTGGTATATCCTGCTATTCATTTCAGCTTGTTTTAAAGAAACGGACCCGAAAAGACCAGGTGGTTAGTGAGCTCGACTCGCAATCTGCGGGTCGTGGGTTCGAATCCCCGTCCTACCAAACATGGTCGCCATTTCAGCCGTTTGGGTGTTATAAAGTGACGGTCAATCCCACTATTCGTTGGTAAAAAGAGTTGG